TCTATAAAACAAATACTAGTCATTGCTTATTTCCAAACCAGGGACCATTTAATGTTGCAAAAAGACATCTTGTTCCTTTGCATGAAATGATGTGTTATCTCAGGTATTACATAGTATGTACAAATAAATCAGGATTAAAATTTAATGGGTTTCCGCAGAAGAGGGGCAAGAAGGATTGTAGGAGCTAGAGAGTTCAAAGACACCATGAAAAACCCACAGAATTAACTAAGCAGTGCTCTTAGGGGCTCACAGAAACAGAACAACGATCATGAATCCTGTGTGGGTCTGACCCGCCCTCTACCTGTGTTGTGTAGCTTGATCTTCCTGTGTGACTCCTAATTGTGGCAGCAGGGGCTGTCTCTGACTCTTTGGCCTGCTTTTGGAACCCTTTCTTCCTATTGAATGTCTCCTCCAGCCCTGGTTCGAGGGGAGGTGCTGAGTTTTATTGCAACTTGCCATTGCCATGTTTGGTTGATGTCCCTGGGAGCCCTGCCATTTTCTGAAGGGAAACAGAGGAGTGTGTGTGGGGTTGCTGAGAAGCAAGCAGGGAGGGGAAACTGTGGTTTATATGTAATATATGAGAGGAAAATAAATTTAAATTTAAAAAATTTATTGGCTTTCCTGGAAAAGAAGGAAACAGAATGATGAGTATAAAAGCCACTGGAAATGTCACTAGTTGCATAATAACTAATCTGGACAAAATGTATTATTTAAAACCACTCAATCATGGCCTTATCTTTTCTAATTCTTGCAGGATGCCTCATGGTATAATCATCTGGCTGCATCTCTGAAACAGTACTAGGAACTGGGAAGCATGTTAGCAAACACTCGATGAAGTCACTCTGAAGAAAACACCATTAATCATGCCATCTGATAAGAGACACGCATGGTCCAGATCCATTTCGACATTACACTCACTCTGAATTCCTGCAGACAGTCCTTGTTGCATAGGGGTTAGGCATTTTTACTGTGAATGAGGTTAGAATTAGGTATCTATTTTTATTTAACATATTTCTTTATTGAATCTTTGGGAGTTTCACATCATACACCCTAATTCTACTCACCTTCCAGTCCCTCCACTTCCTCCCTTTCCCCCTTCAGCAGCCCCCCGAAAGAAAAGAAAAAAAACAACCAAACAAAAATAGCAAGCAAACAAAAAGAGAAAGAAAAACAACAACATCATAACCAGAACTTCTCTCCTCTATTTTTCCCACCTCTCAACACTGTTTCATTCGTCCTGGTGGCACTGGGATCCTTGGTGTGTCACACAGTGTACCCTTTTGTCTTATCGGATTTACTAGCAAATGTTCATTGCAGTGAGTCACTAGTCTGTTCAAGGCCTCTGGTTTCCGTACACCATCTTCTCTGGATCGTCACTGGAACTCCACTTGGATATCCCTGTTTCCCCGAGTCATAGAGATCCTGTGTTTATGGTTCTGCAGAGCCAGTTCTTTTCACCACTACCACCCAGGCCCACCCTAGCATCTGCCCCATCTGGGATTAGGCATCTTTATGATGAATGAGAGATGTATATTATTTAGGTCTTATTTCTCAAAATGCAGCCTCCCCAAGATGCTGCGGTTTCCAGTTGTAGATGCTTTACAGTGCAATTTTCTTTGCTCATTGCTGCTCAGTTCCCCCCAAATATACAGTTTCCATGGCATCAATCATCTACTGGAAATATAGTACAAAACCTATGAGAGTGCCCATTGCTTTTTTGAGTAAATGGAAAACCTTAAGTTGGTATTTAAGACATTGCATTATTGCTAGGTTTATCCTTCATTAAGGAATTTTCATCCAACGTAAGAAAACCCAGAAGATGCATACTTGCTGAGTAGCTATGATTCTTTTGCCTCTTCAGTCTCTGTTCCTGCCTTCTCTGAGATGCTTGGTTGTGCCCATACCTATTTCTTTTGCAAAAGGTTACTCAGGCACTCCCTGGGGCTTCTATCCAGAGCACGCTCTACCAACAACGAATTTCTTCATTTTAGCATCTTTTGCAAATCTAGCTAGGCTGAGAACTTACCAAGTAAGTGGCTTCTGGCTCCCTGCTCTTGTTTACTGTGTTGCTCCTTCCACTGCTTTCTCGTAAGTAGCAAAGGGGAACAAAACTCTATCTACAATGTTTAAGCTAGGATCTCTTAAGCCAAAAATGTCCACGTTCACCACCTCCAGGTTGCTTTCTGTTCAAAGGAGAACAACTTTTCTTCCATTTTACAACAAGTACAGACATTTCTTTAGCTTACAATAATCTATTCCCCATTTTGTTTTCAGGTCTCACTAAAAGTACATTTAATATTTATATTTTGTTAACAGTCTCCTTATGTACATATATACCTCTCTCTCTCTCTGTCACACACACACACACACATATAGAAACATACATGCACACACATGCACTCAAGCACATACATACACATTCACAGCATAAACATATACATAAACACACATACACATGCATATACACCACACACATATACCATACCTTCTCATACACTCACACATACCCACATGCATACAATAAATACATATGCATGTACACACTCACACACATACACTTCAAAGCAATCTTGCTTTTTCTTTTTTATGTGCATGGGTGTTTTGACTTGCCTGCGTTTGGTGCCCAAAGAGACCAGAAGAGTACACTGGATCTTCTGGAACAGGAGTTACAGCAGTTTTTGAGCCCCTGTTTGGGTGCTTGGAACTGAACTTAGGTCCTCTGCAAGAGCAACAGTGTTCTTCATTGTTGAGACATCTCTCTAGCCCAGCTAGCCTTGTCAGTCATTCCCTAAAATACTTCCAGCCTCTATACATCCCTATTCATTCCTACTTTTTTTCTATAATAGCATCCTACTTCCAGGTACCAGAATCCGATGGGATAGGGCATGCTCAGGGTGGAATGACCATAGATTGATACCAGAATCATATTAGTTTTCTAGAGTTGCAGACAACAGGCTACCAATAACTAGGTGGATTTAAATACATGTCATTTACCATATAAACGGACAGTCTTCATTTACTTTGTATTCTGTGAGAAATTTGTCTCAACTGGATGTATGAAATTGAAAAGCTTCATTCAAACAGGGGAATAGTGTTACAATGAGTCTTAAAGTATATGTTGCATTGTAGTATATATTACATATATTCATTTGCACAATCAAAGAATTTATGTTTTCTTCAGGAAAACAGAAGGATTGTAGCATTAGGAAACTATAGATGGAGAATGAAGACATTCCCCATATGCGTTGCTATGACCTGGAAAGAACAACTGAATAAAATCCACTAAAAATTACGTCAAGAGGCTCATTCTCCACTTCAGAGCAGGATGGACGCCCAGGCAGGCGATCAGGAAGATACCTCCATAGGGACTCATGAGAATGAGTGTCCTAAAGATGATACAGCTATGGCCTTCCTCTGGTAGCATGCCAGGCCAGTTGCTCCATCACACGGAACATGAGTCTGTGAAATTCCTGCATGTGTACATGGGTGTGTATAGAGAATCTAAATTCTGCAGGAGTGTGTGTACATTCCTGTTTCTAATACTATAGTTTTATGTTTTAATATACTGTAACAAAACACACTCTCCACAAGTCCTTGATGAATCCTGCTCACCTTTTCCCCCAGACAAACTTTGAAAAAAGCCTGTCCAGTTTGCTTTATTAAAAAATCCCTGTAAGGATCTTAACTGGGTTTTTGCCAAATAGATAATTTGAAGAAGCTCTGAGCACAATTTCATTCTTCCTAGTCAGGCTTCTGGTGCACTCATTTCAGGTGTTTCCTGTATTCCTCAGCAAAAGTTTTTAAAGTTTGCATGGGGGTTTTATTACTAGCGATAGATTTTATTTCTTTAGGATATGGGCATCTATCTATCTATCCATCTATCTATCCATTCATATATATTATGTGAATGTACATGAGATACAGTCTCACTGTGTATCTCAGGCTGTCTGGCCTGACCCTCACTATGTAGCATAAGCACCTTGAGCTCTGGATCTTCCTGCCTTGGCTTCCCAAATACTGAGAGTTTAGTAACTTCAAGCAATACGTTTTGGAAGGAACCATAATGGTAAGGTTTCTTAATCCTTCAATGTGAAAAAAGATCTGCCTTAATACTGTCTTCAAATCGGAATAAGCACAGGAAGTTGGGCTTAAACTCTTTCTTTAGAATAAAGAGATGATATTTCATCTTGCTTATTACCTAGCAGCTCACATGAGAAGCCAAATAGATGCTTGCATACTGACTGCTTCTTTAAACCTATCGTGTTTTTGTTTTAGCCTTTAGAAATTCTTGGGGCATTTCTCTATTTTCCCGGAGTTGGGAAATGTCACACAATCTTAGTAGGCATGCACTTCCCTACACACCCAGACACTGCACCGTCTCTCCTTAAAAGACGTGAGAGCATTGTCTCAGGACACAACAGAAATATTGAAACTAACTGGAAGGCGCTGCATGCTACCTAAACAACCATGGGGGTTGTAGGCAGCCACAGAAAAAACACCCTGTGTAAATATTACAGGTTACCTATCAGAGACACCGCTTTCCACAAAGTGTCAACAGTGCAACCCAGTTGCATATTCGCCCGGGAAGAGGATGCCTGGGCAGGAAGCTAAAGTGAAAGGCGACTCCACTGAGTACGATCCCAAGGCTGGCAGAGACCCCGCGGGTGCTGCCCTTGCTTCTAGTGTATTTCGAATCCAGGAGAGGTGCTGGGAGTGCCCTGGGTGCTTGCTGAAGTTTCCGCAGATCCTGGTGAACTTGCTGCATGTGATGGTGTTTGATAGATCAAGCAGCATCCTAGCTGATTTGTCCACACGCAGCTAGATGCGGCATGCTGGGAGATGAGAAACCTTGCAGGAATGGGCTTTGTGAGAGCTTCAACACTCACAGAGTCAAAGCAGCCAGGATGAACCAGGCTAGGGAACTCCACCATCCCCTCCCTCAGGGCCACAGTGGACTCATGGGTCTCCTATTGAACATTCCATCAAATACAGAGGCAAAATGCTGAACAGGGTTTATTTTCATTTTATCTTACTGCATTTAAAAAATGCACGTCAGTTCGTCACAAAGGGACATGACTGAACAGGTAGGAAACAGACTCTCCGTTATGGGTTCTTCGGATGGCTTCTGCCAGAATCATGGAGATGTCAATCACCTGGATTTTGGGGCAGTGCTTCATCTTGTCCTCCTGAGGAATGGTGTTAGTGACCACTACTGCCTCAAAGCCCCCACCGTTGATGCGAGCAATGGCTGGGCCGGAGAAGATTCCGTGAGTCAGGATGGCATAAACCCTGGTGGCTCCCGCTGAGAGAAGCTTGTCAGCCGCGTGACAGATTGTACCACAAGTGTCAGCCATGTCATCCACAAGGATAGCCACCCGGTCCTTCACATCGCCCACAAGCACCATGCGGTCCACCTCATTGGCTTTCTTCCGTTCCTTGTGGATCAGGGCAAAATCCACATTCAGATGGTCGGCGATGGAAGTGACCCTCTTGGCCCCGCCAGCATCAGGAGAGACAACGGTGCAGTTCCTCCATTCAGAAATATTCTCCCTGATCCACTTCAGGACAGCTGGCTCTGCATACAAGTTGTCTACTGGGATGTCGAAAAAGCCCTGAATCTGGGAAGCGTGTAGGTCCATGGTGATGATATGATCTGCACCTGCTATAGACAGCATATTCGCTACGAGCTTCGCAGAGATGGGGGCCCGGCTCTTATCCTTCTTATCCTGACGGGCATAAGGGAAGCACGGGATGACCGCAGTCACCCGGCTGGCGGAAGCGATCTTGCAAGCATTAATCATGATCAGAAGTTCCATTAGACTGTCGTTGATTTCGCCACAACCGCTCTGAACGATGTAGACATCCTCTCCGCGCACACTCTCACCGATTTCTACGCAGGTCTCCTGGTTACTGAATTTCTTAGTGACCACCTTGCCGAGCTCCAGTCCCAGGCGCTCAGTAATCTTCTGGGATAAGTCCTGGTGGGAGCTGCCACTGAAGATTTTGATGTTTGGCATCTTAACCAAAGATCCTAGATTCAGCTTTTCCCTCTGCCGCCTTGGAATGGAACTTGGACCACAGACCCTAACAGCTTCCGGCGATTGCATAGCAGGTGATTATGAAGCCGTTACTGCCCTTTCCGTAACGGTTGTGCTAATCTGAGCCAAAGTATTTTGAAAAAACAAAACAAAACAAAAGGCTTGATTGGCACCCGCTGTGCACTTTCAAATTAAGAAGACTCTCTACTCTATGGGAATTTTCCTACTGTTATTATTATTATTAATTTTTCTTGTTTTTTGGTTTTTTCCGGAAGGGTTTCCCTGGGTATCCCTGGTTGTCCTGGAACAGAACTTGCCTCAATTCAGAGACAGACCGCCTCTGCTTCATGAGTGCTGGAATTAAAGGCATGGGCCACTGCCTGGCCAATTGTTATTATTAACTTTTAGGAACTTTAAATTTAAATACACTAAAACACAAAGCAAGGTTCTCAGATGAATTTAAATGGAAAGTTTCAGGCTGGAGGAGTACGTACAAAGTGTCTAGTCCATTTCCAACAGAGTGAAAAAGCAAAGAAGGTTGAAAATGGTAGAAATGGGAATCCATTCCAGAGTATTTGAAAGTACCTCCAGGATACTTGCTGTGTTAATTAAATAAATGTTCCAAGAGCAACTCCCGTGTGTCAGTTGTTTTACTTTTTGCAGAAGTATCAAATTCTGCAGCTGTATGCACCATATATATCCTTGCACAGCTGTGAATGTAGGGAAACATGTTTGTAGATAGCAACATCACTTCACAATGTGTAAGGCTTGGACATGTGTGTTGGGGTGTAAGACAATGAGTTGCAAATATTAACTAACCTACATGTTTAGAGAAACAGATTCTGGGACAAGCAAGTGGTCATCAATAAGTAGGAAAACATTTATGGTCTACAGCAGTATGAAAAATGTATTACTTGGTTATACAGTTTTAGTTTTATACATTTAATGAGATATTATTATAGTCATATAATAATTAAACTAACATTGCCCACGTTAAAATGCTACATCAAAACAGCATGCTAATGACTTAAGCACATCCCTCTTGACATGAAAATACCTTCTTTTCTCTTCGTTCACGTTCTTTGTGATTGACAGTGCATGCCAAATGCTTTCTGTTCACAAATCTTCATTCATGTTCTTTCTTAAAAACAAATCCAACGGAGAGACACCTGTGCCGTGTAATTCATGCCCAAGGAGCCACATACAGTGATTTGTACAGAAAATCCTGCAGCTTAATTTAGAAGCACTAAAAAGTACTTGCAGCTTCAATTAAATTGATTTTTCTTTTAGTGTTCTCAGTATGACACACATTTTCAGTTTTTAATGAAAAACAAAACAGAGTTTCAAATAGATTTAATATTACATAAATAGGACTAAATGCTAATATAAACATTTGCTGGTTGTATTTTTCTTGAGATGTTAAGTAGAAGCCATTTTTGAATCACTGTTATTTTTGTTCCAAGATCTGGCTGTTGCTTTACCTCATAATTCCAGGGCTTTGTCTAGAGTTATCATATGTTAAAGATGGCAATGCCCTCAGAGATCATCCCGTCATTCTATATCCCAGTTCACAGCTAGGGAACCCTGGACCAGAGAAACAAGTTATCCATAATACACTGACTTGCTAAAGCTCAGTGCATACTAGGATGTGGGCTTCTTAGATTTCCAAGTATGCTATACTTTTCTGCTCTGTTACTTTAGGCCCCTTCTCCACTCCATCTCCTAGTTTACGAGAATGATGAGGGGGGAAAATGTGTGCATAAATGCTTGCATAAAATTTTCTTACTTACCAAGTAACTACAATGAAGAATAAAAATGAGCCCAAATGTCCTGTTGCTGAAATCAAGCTCTGAAATCCAGAAATGCACCACTGATGTCATAGATTGTGATGTCATAGATTGTGATGTCATAGACTGTGATGACATTAATGGTCATTGTGACATTTTTCTAACTTGGGATTTCACATTGTTCTCTTTGTTCCATGGGTTGAGGAAGACAACTACCTTATCACCAACTGCTTCTGGAAAGATTCATGTAGCGATAATGCATACTGGATAACACATAAAGGTCTTCCCAAAACAGGAGTACTTAAATATCATCTATATATCATATATATAGTTTCCTTCTCAATAGTTTCTTGGTTTACTGGTTGTTTCTTTACTCTTCGCCATTCTGGCATAAATAATTCAAAGACAATTCTGATGCAGTTTGATCAGTTGAGAAGAAAAGAAATCCAGGCAGTCATTTCTGAAAGCGAGGAAAATGGTTGTATTTTAAGTTAAATAAATGCTTTCACTAAACACACTTACAGTTGACAAAATGCTAGGTGTTTAGGTGGCAATTATCGTTCTCTGATAAACTGTCAAATCTTGTCACAACACATGTTACAAACAAGGACAGATTTAGATGTCCTCCATGACAGCTTTGTGTAGGTTGGGAATGTGTGGCAGTTAATTTCAAGCAAGGAACATATTTTTCTTTCTAGCAGTTATCTTCTTGTTGATTAGGAAGACCGTCTTTGTGCCTCTAATCTTACTCATTGGCTCACAGTTCCAAATCATCATTGTAAGACCGCCTTACCTCCTCTGTTTGATTCATAATTGTCAGGCACAATACTGGGAGGAGACAGTTTCCCATGGAGGTTCACACTCAGTGCAGATGCTATAGTTTGTTCTGTGGTTGTTTACAGTTGGAGCTGACTGCTGTGCATGTTTATCAAGCTTTTTGCTGGAAATCTGTCATCTTGTACAATAGATGTGTAGGTAACAGCAAGGTAAATAAGACGGAGTGAAACAAATAGAAGAAGGGGAGGAAATTTCATGATTCAGAAGCCAGATTTTGTGAGCATTATGTTAGACTTATGAAGGTGTTTCTGAAGTGTACTTTGGAGTTTCTTTTAGAAGTTGGGTAAACCAAACAATCCTAGTATGAAATAGTAATTGTGGAATAAAAATGAGATTCCAGGAGCTGGATAATGTACAATCATAATGACAAATAAAGCAATATATAAAGAGATTCCATAACTTCTAGATTGCAAGTAAGAAAATCTTTTCCTTGTGGCTATGGGAAATAATGTGGAGTGCTTCAAAGCAGATTCTGGGCTGGTGTTTGCTATTTCCTGTAAAATCTCAGTTTCATACAAGTAACAAAAAGTTACATCAATGAAATTCAAGAGCACACATTTCCATTTATGTTATTGAAAACTCTTTAAAAAAGGCCTTTTGACTGGGGGTGGTAGAACATGCCTTTAATCCCAGGTAGAGACAGGCAGATCTCTGTGAGTTGAAGACCAGCCTGGTCTATAGAATGAGTTCTAGGACAGCCAAGGCTACACAGAAAAACCCTGTCTTGAAAAACTAAAATCAAACTAACAAATAAACAAAATGTACTTTTGTAGCACTCAGGAGGCAGGGTTAGATGGATTTCTGTGAATTCAAGTTCAGCCTGGTAAACATAGCAAGTTCCATGCCAACTAAGATCACACTGAGAGAAACCCTGCCTCAAAACCAACCAACCAAATAAATATATAAATAAATTAAAGTACTTTTTTGATACTTCAAAGGGCAAAGAAGAAACATCTGTGGTTTAAACAAGAATGGCCCCGTAGGTTCATATATTTGAATGCTTAGTCATCAGAGAGTGGTGTTGTTTGAAACAGAAGAGGATTGCCTATGGCCTTGTTGGAGAAGTGACCTCCCTGGAAGAAGTGTCTAGGCTGTCTATTACAATAACTAGGATCACTTTGTCTTTGACAATTCAGTGCTGCCACTTTGCCCCGGCTACTTTGGGACCTGATTAAATCCATGACATTGAATTCATCCAGCTGAACAACTTCTGTATTCCCACATAACCCTGATTGGTGTTTGTCATCAGAATCATAGGTATCAACACGGAGTCGTTTACATACACCCTCTGATCCATGAGATCTGCATTGTTGGGAAACACATGATGGAAGTGAACAATTTCCTGTGGACTTTCAGACTGTCCTGGTGCAATAAATGACCTATTTTGTGAAAGGCAGAAAAGCAGGGAACTGGGAAGAACAGATTTACATGCTTTTTAGAAGAATACACTAAGGAATCTCCCTCAACATTTCTGTAATATCTGGTCAGTTAGTAAACAGTAAATTGAAAATAAACATTACCCCTTTTTTCTCTTCATAGTGACCATCTATTAATAATAATAATTTTCCAAAAAAGCAATGAAAGCAGCTATCCACTCACATAAGTGAAAATTGTCTGTAGTGTGTTTGAGGATGTTTGTTTACCCAATAATTCCAGAGAGATCAGAACTACTGGGAAGATTAGTTAGGCCACATATATGCAGACACTATTTGAAGAGCTTCTAATCAGTACTCTATCTGCGGTGTGGGAAGAAGAATATGGAGTTTGTGTTTCTAACCAGAGGCCAGTTAATACCCCTGCTGCCATCCTGTTGACCTTTGAGAATTGATTTCATTTGACTTTGCAATTGTGCTGGCTATTTTTTTTAAACTTGACGTATCTGAAGAACATTTTCTTGATTATTGATTGTTGGAGATGGCCTAGTGTTGGGGAATATTTGTTTAACTACTCAAAGGTGTGTTGAATTTGTTTATGATGCATTTGTTTAATGTGAAGATGTACTGCTGTTTTACCTTGCTTGCCTAAGGTACATAATTGGTCTACTAGAAAGCTGGATGGCCAAAGGCAAGGGAGGAGGTATAGGTGGGACTTTTGGGCGGGAAGAGTAAGTAGGAGGAAGAATTCAGACTTGGGAAGCAAAGAAAAGAAGAAGGAAAAAGAAATGTCAGGGAGTTGCCAGGGGCCAGACAGCCAGATGTGTCAAAACCAGCAAAGTAGGACGTGCAGAATGAAAGAAAGGTTAAAGGCTCTGAGGAAAATGTAGATGAATAGAAACGGGTTGAATGAAGTTAAAAGAGCTAGTGGGACATGTCCAAGCTGAGGCCAAATGTAGATGAATAGAAATGGTTGAACGAAGTTAAAAGAGCTAGTGGGACACATCCTCGCTGAGGCCAAAGAGTCATAATTATTAAGACGTGTCTGTGACTTTATTTAGGAGCTAGTTGGTGTCCCAAAGAAAATGTCAACTACAGTGTAGCTCATTGTTGATAGTACCAACCTTGGGAAGACTGTTATAATACTGTGTGAGGTGGGACCGAGGTGGATCCCATGGCCTGGGACAAACACACCATCAGGTAGAACTTATATGGGAAGGAAGTTTTATTGGGAAGGGAAAGGAATTGGGGAAGGGAGAGAGAACAAAAAGAAAGAGAGGACGGAGACAAGAGAAAGGGGAGGTGAGCAGAGTTTGCTTTACAGAAGCTACTCAGTTTCTGGAGGTCTCATTTATTAATCTTCGATTTCAGTGTCTGTGCTATTTATGCCAGATTCAGGAAGCAGTCTCCTGTGCCAATGTGTGCCAGGGTATTTCCCACTTTCTCTTCTATCAGCTCTAGTATAATTGGATTTATATTGAGGTCTTTGAACCACTTGGACCTGAGTTTTGTGCAAGGTGATATGGACCCAAGGAGGTCATTTCATACTTATCACAGGAGAAATCCACCAGGATGAAGTTTCAGTTTTGAACATAATGTCCCAAATACAAAGGCATCCATTTTCGTAAAAGAAACATTACTAAAACTAAAATCGCATATAAAGCCCCACACACTTATAGTGGGAGACTTCAACACCCCACTCTCACCACTAGACAGGACTACCAGACAGAAACTTAAAAAAGAAACAAAGGAACTAATAGAAGTTATGACATGTTAAGAGAAGCTTTCCTTGAGAGGAGCCTTCTCGCCCGCCTGGTTCCAGATCCGCATCAGTCCCAAATAAACACACAGGAGGCTATATTAATTATGAAGCTGTTGGCCTTGCTTGTTTCTTACTAGCTAGCTCTGACTTAAGTAATTACCCCATAATTGTTAATCTAAGTATGTTTCTTACTGGAGAATAGTTCCAGGCTTCCTACCCCCATGGTGTTACATGTTGACTCTCTTGTGTTTCTCCTTCCCAGAATCCTCCTGGACTCCTAGTCCCTCCTATCTTGGTTCCCTATAGGCTCAACAGTACTTTATTAACAAATGCACAGGACTTCCCCCAACAATGACACAATTGGGATTAACAGACATCTATAGAACATTCAATCCAAATAAAAAA